CGCCTCGGCCAGCCACCCCACCCCACACTCAACCATGGGTGCCCCTGCCCGGGGACCATTCACAGAGCCCTGGGGCTTCCCGTTTGACCAGGCCGACCTGGCCCACGCTGAGCTCATGCTGAGCTGCAGAGACAGAACCGGCCCCAAGCAGGAGTGAAGACAGGCACAGGCTTTACCTTCTCAGGGTGGATGCCACAGCCCTCTGTGCTGAGGTGCCTCGGGGAGCTTAGAAGTGGGCCGGCTTGCTTGCAGCAAGGTCAAGGGGTCCAGGGCCTGCCTGGGCTTGTGTGCCAGAAGACCAGAGGAACTGGAAGCTGCTTGTGCTTAACTCGGTAATAAGAGAAACTAGGAGGGGAAAGAACCCCTTTCTAGGCCCTTGGAAATGGAGGAGCCTGTGAGATATGCTAGGAAAGAGGCAGAGGGAGGACAAAGGGTCAGCTTGGTGTAATCTCTGTTAGCAGGTACAGACACATATGCACCTGTTCTCCAGCGAGCAGATCTTGGCTCCCCACTCCTTGCAGAGGTGGTTCCAGAAGAAATAAAGAAAGCCTGAACTCCACAAACAGACAATGCCTGGCATCCCCAGAGGGATTCATACAGGAGGGAACAAAGGTGACTCGGCTTTGGACTTTGACCGTCATTTGATAACAGCTGAGCCAGCCAGAGACTTGTATTATGGTAAAAGCTTAGGGAATTAGCATCTATCGAGCACATGCAATGACCTGAGCAGTCCTCCGAGGTCTTACTTAATCTTTTCACATCTGCCACGTGATGTAAGTACTCTCTTACAGCTCTGAAAACTGAGGCTCAGAAAAGTTGAGGTCCTTGTCCAAGCTGCAAGTCTTTACAGCAAAAGAGTCTAGCCTCAATGTGTGACTCCAGAGCACGGGTTCTTTGCCAAGCACCCTCCTGCCTCTGCTGCTTGGTTTTGGAGGAATGGGGTTGTTTGGTTTTGGTTTGGGAGGATCTTGGGGTTGGCGATTGGACAGGATGGTGAAAGTGTTCCCAAGGTCATTCAACCCAAGGGTGCCCTGGCCAAATACAGACTTGCTCTTCCCTCAACTTGACCACACTCCCTTCAGTGGCTTTGCTCCAGCTATTCTGTTTCCTGAGGTGCCAACCCCTCCCAACCCCAGCCTCGTTTCTACCTGCCAGAATTGTTCTCACAAGACCCATCTCAATGTCCTAGAAGCTTTTGCCTCCTTCCATTGCTCCTGTCCCTTTCTGGGGAACCTCTGACACTCACTTGGCTATTGACTAGTATTGGAGCCATAGATGTCCTCTTCACCTTATCCCCTAGTTAAGGTTGACAAGCCCCCCAGGTCAGAGGTTGGGCCTTGGACCTTCCCCCTTATACACACAAGCAAGCGCACACACACACACACACACACACACACACTCCCTACATTCACAGAACCTTTAAATCCTACAGACAGAAGAGCATAGTGCCTGGAGTATCCATACTACCCAGAGCGTGGCTGAGCTCCCAAGCCCAATGCGAGCTCCTGGAAAGGGCCCCACTTCCCTACTGGAGTCCAACGGGCTGGGCCAGCTTATGTGCCCAGGTCTGACCCTCCCCAGACTGCCTCAATAGCTCTCAGCTATTCCTCAGTCCTTAGCCTCAATCCTTCTCACCACATACATCTCAGCCTCCACGACCCTTCCTCAGGGGCTTGGGCCCAGGAGAAGACTGCCCAGTAAGGCTGCCAGCTGGGTGACCCCTCCCCCTCCACCTCTGCAGGGGGCAGGGGGTGAGGCTGGCCAACACAAGGCAGGTTCCCTGAACCTCAGTGCCAGGCCCTCCCTGCCCCACCTTTCCCCTCTGAGCTCAAACCTGAGTCATGAATGGAAGCACAGGGGGACCAGCACACAGTTCCGTTCCTGTCAGCACTTCCGTGTACTTCCTTACTCGGAATTTTGAGTTTCCACAGCACTCCCTGTCCATTTCCTCCCCCAGCACTCAGCCCTGCCCATGAGGCCTGGAGTGCAGCCACCTCTGACCACCACTCCCTTCCTTGCTCC